TTAATTTTTTTTTGAATATGTTGAGTTATTTTTAGTTTTTAATAGAAGCAAAATTTATGCTTGGTTGAGTCAGAAACAATAATTAATTATACCGTGTTTAAAAAAAAAATTGAAACATAAATTAATCACTTTTTGAATTCATTAAGTCGCCGCCGTGAGATTTCTCTTAATATTCTTTAAGTGTTGAGAATTTTCCGTGTCGGTTTAACCTAATTATCAATTTATAATTAGAGGGCAAGTTTAAATCGATATTTAGTAGCTTTTTAAATACACCTAAGAGAATTTATAACTTTATCAATTGAATATTTCTCTTCAGAATTTGTATGCTTGTCTTAAATTTTCTTTTTTGATAAGTCTGTATTAAATTAAAGCGATGAGTTGTATGTTGTCTTAAAGAGGAATCTTTAAGTTAATTTGATATAAAAGCCATTTAATTATTTCAAAAAATAAGACTCACACAATTTTTTAAATATAATGAATAACAAATAAAACTAGATTAGCACTAACACTAGACCTAGAACTAGAAACATTTCGTTTAGCCGCACCTCTCTTAAATCGGCTGTTAGTATAAAATATTACCATGTTGCATATTTTTATTGAACTAAAACTAGAACTAACATTAGACGTCGAAATAGAAAGTTACAAATGTTTCTAGTTCTAGGTCTAGTGTTAGTTCTAGTTTTACACTAGCACTATCACTAGAACTAACATAAGACCTAGAACTAGAATCATTCGGGTTTAGCCGTCTTGAGAGATGTTCGACTAAACCCGTATGTTTCTAGTTCTAACTCTAGTGTTAGTGTTATATTTTACACTAATATTGTTACTGGAACTAATACTAGATCTAGAACCAGAATCATTCGGGTTTAGCCGTCCTGCAACACATGCGGCTAAACCAGAATGATTCTAGTTCTAGGTCTAGTGTTAGTTCTAGTTTTACACTAGCACTGTTACTAGAACTAACACTAGATCTAGAACTAGAATCATTCGGGTTTAGCCGTCTTGAGAGACGTGCGGCTAAACCCGAATGATTCTAGTTCTAGGTCTAGTGTTAGTTTTAGTTTTACGCTAGTATTGTTATTAGAACTAACACTAGATCTAGAACTAGCATCATTCAGGTTTAGCCGTCTTGAGAGGCGTGGACTAAACCCGAATGATTCTAGTTCTAGGTCTAGTGTTAGTTCTAGTTTTACACTAGCACTGTTACTAGAACTAACACTAGAACTAGAATCATTCGGGTTTAACCGTCTTGAGAGACGTGCGGGTTGGGTTGGGTTGGATTGAGTTCGGGTTGGGCTGGGTTGGGTTGGGTTGGATTGAGTTCGGGTTGGGTTGGGTTGTGTTGGGTTGGATTGAGTTCGGGTTGGGTTGGGTTGTGTTGGGTTGGATTGAGTTCGGGTATAATACTTCCAGGAGGAAGAGAAGAGAGTATGACATGTGGTGTACCTCAAGGTTCAGTCATAGGAGCGACGCTATGGAACGTTTTCTATGATAGCGTTCTGAGATTGAAAATGGAGGAAGGCGTGTCTATGATCGCATATGCTGATGATTTGGCAGTGATAGTAAAAGCGAAAACACCAGAAGCGATAAAAGACAAGGCGGAGTATTGCATACAAAGAATTGCAGAAAAGATGAGAGATTTGGGACTGGAAATGGCGGAGGAGAAGTCACAGATTGTTATTTTGGAAGGCAGAAGGAAAATGAAGAGCATTGAGATAAGAGTTGGGAAGGAAATGATAAAGAGCTCGCAAGCAGTGAAATATCTGGGGGTGTACCTAGATAAAGATTTACGTATGACCGAGCACGTGAAGAAAGTTGCAGAGAAGGCGAGCCTGGTGTATAGGAACTTGTCACGCCTAATGCCGAAGAAGGGAGGTCCGAGACAGGCGAGGAGAAGATTGTTGGGAACCGTGGTGAGATCCATAACTTTGTATGCAGCTCCAGCGTGGGAGATAACTATGAAAAAGAAGAAATATGTTGGAATAATAAGAACAATAGAAAGAAAGACTTCCATTAGCATAACATCAGCGTATAGAACGGTCTCTACTGAGGCGGCAGGAGCGTTGGCGGGGCATCCACCAATGCATCTGTTGGCCTGGGAACGAAGTAGGAATTGGGAAGAGAAAGGGAAGAATAAGATGCAGAATAGACAGACACTGGGGGAGAAATGGCAGGAAAGATGGAGCAAATATACAGGCTGGGCAAAAAATTTCATAAGAGATGTTAGAGAATGGCAGCAAAAAGGGCCAGAAACAGATTATTATACAACACAAGCCATAACGGGCCACGGAATTTTTGCAGCATACTTAAAAAATATAAAGAAGGTGAAGTCGGATATTTGCTGGTTTGGATGCGGAAAGCGAGACACTCCAAACCACACGCTCTTTGAATGCAATAAGTTCGAAAAAGACCGTAAAGATACGGAGGCCATCATCGGAAGAAAACTACGAGTTGACACCGTAGCAGAATTATTGACTGGAGACGAGGAAGAAAGAGAAGCAGTGATGAGTTTTTTGCGAGGGGTCATGATGGAGAAGGAGATGGAAGAGAGGAGAAGAGAGAAGGAATTCAGTGGGAGAGATGAAGAATAGGGGAGGCATATTGCCTCCCCGAGCCGGGTATGTATAGTACAATGACATTTAAAAAATTGAATTTTGTTTTCATGAGACCCGAAAAAGAGTGGGAATGAGCACCTATGCCCGGAGTCTCCGAAGAAATGCGCAAGCGGTTCCGGAGAGAGATAGAAGACGAGGAAAGGGGTTTTTTAGTGGGTCGGGGTCATTAGCCCCAACCCCACACTATCTGGAAAAAAAAAGGATTGAGTTCGGGTTGGGTTGGGTTGTGTTGGGTTGGGTTGGATTGAGTTCGGGTTGGGTTGGGTTGTGTTGGGTTGGATTGAGTTCGGGTTGGGTTGGGTTGTGTTGGGTTAGATTGAGTTAGGTTGGGTTATATGCGAATTATATGAAATTCACCTAAACCCTCAAAAACGCATCATTACAAAAAATTTCTTTTATAAAAGCTTTTATTGGCGAAGCAATATCTTGTATATTTCCTGAAAGTAGAAGATTTAAGCTTTAATTTGACGCAAGAATTATACCTTAGCTTTCATAAATATGGGATGAGCGATTTTCTAAAAATCAACATTTTATCCCAACTTTAATATTAAAAATGCAATAATTATCATATTTATTTTTAAAAAATTCTTAAAAACCGAAATAATATCTTTTATATTTATTAAAAAAGGAAAGTTTAAACTTTAATTTATTATTTCTCAATTTCGAAAAGCATAATTTTTCAAATTTCTCATTTTTTAGATGATTTGATTTAAATCCAAATTTGCATGTTTGTTTTTAAATATTCTTAGATGAAATCTCCATCAAATTATAACGATGAGTTATATGTTGTCTTAAAGAGGAATCTTTAAGCTTTAATTTGATATAAAAGCCATTTAATTATTTAAAAAAATGAGACCTACACGATTCTTTAAACATTATCATTTTGTTTTTATAATTCACCTAAACCCTCAAAAACACATCATTACAAAAAAATTTTTTTTATAAAAACTTTTAATGCTGAAACAATATCTTTTATATTTCCTGAAAGTAGAAGATTTAAGCTTTAATTTGACGCAAGAATTATACCTTAGCTTTCATAAATATGAGATGAGCGATTTTTAAAAATCAACTTTTTATTCTTACTTTAATCTTAAAAATGCAATAATTATCATATTTATTTATAAAAAATTCTTAAAAACCTAATAATAAAGTAAAGTTTACACTTTACTTTATTATTCCTCAATTTCCAAAAATATAATTTTTCGAATTTCTCATTTTTTAGATGATCTGGTTTAAACCAAAATGTGCATGTTTGTTTTTCAATATCTTTGATGAACTCTCCATCAAATTAAAACGATGAGTTATATGTTGTCTTAAAGAGGAATGTTTAAGCTTTAATTTGATATAAAAGCCATTTAATAATTTAAAAAAATAAGATATTCACGATTGTTTGAATATCATCATTTTATTTTTTTGATTCACCCAAAATCTTAAAAACGCATCATTATAAAAAATTGTTTTTACAAAAACTTTTTAATAATATCATTTATATTTCCTGAAAGAAGAAGATTTAGGCTTTAATTTGACGCAAGAATTATACCTCAGCTTTCAGAAATATGAGATGAGCGATTTTTAAAAATCAACTTTTTATTCTTACTTTAATCTTAAAAATGCAATAATTATCATATTTATTTATAAAAAATTCTTAAAAACCTAATAATAAAGTAAACTTTACACTTTACTTTATTATTCCTCAATTTCCAAAAACATAATTTTTCAAATTTCTCTGTTTTTAGATGATCTGGTTTAAACCAAAATGTGCATGTTTGTTTTTCAATATCTTTGATGAACTCTCCATCAAATTAAACCGATGAGTTATATGTTGTCTTAAAGAGAAATGTTTAAGCTTTAATTTGATATAAAAGCCATTTAATAATTTAAAAAAATAAGATATTCACGATTGTTTGAATATCATCATTTTATTTTTTTGGTTCACCCAAAATCTCAAAAACGCATCATTATAAAAAATTGTTTTTACAAAAACTTTTTAATAATATCATTTATATTTCCTGAAAGTAGAAGATTTAAGTTTTAATTTGATGTAAGAATTATACTTCATAAAAGAAGTTTTCAAAAATATAACAGTATCTATTTTTAGCTTATAATTAAGCTTTAAATTGTTGTTTATTATCTTTGAAAATCCAATTTAATTAATCCAATAATAATGTTTATTATGTTTTGAACAAGAGAAGTGGTTCATCTAATGATGTGCTTATAATCATAGTAAGATTTAGTAGATTTCAGTAAGCTACTCATTTTTCAGTAGTGAGTTGAATTTCGGTGTGGGACACAGAGTCAAAAGTTCTCCAACATCTGGAAGCGGCTGCAGCACGCCTGTCCGTTCAGGCTTACAGGCGTATTCAGAGGGCTCAACCATTCAGTTTGTCGTGAACCGCCGTATGGTGAGCACGGACGTGCTCCCAACAGTTCCGCAGACGTAACGCGCACGTGTCGTGCTGGGACTGCGTTTGTTGACAAGCTAAAATTTTAACATTTGACTCATTCTTTCGCGACATCTTAACAACAACTGTGTTAAATAAGTAATCTAACGAAAATATATCTCAAGAATTTTTATAAATAAATATATGTGAAGTTACATTTTTTTGAATTGAAACTGTTTCTTAGTTTAAGATTTGAATTTTCTTTCTAAGTGTTTTTTGGATACGTATACGTACAGAACAAGTACGATTAAGTACTTTAAAAGGTAAATAAATAAATTGATTACTACCATTTAAGAGTTTATAAGAAAGAATAACTAAAGTGGTTTTTGAAGTGGAAAAAGGCAACGGTAAAGTTATTTCTTAGCCCAATTGCGGCTCGCTCGGCAAAAGTGTATTACCATATAGATTGAACGTTTAAAGCTCGGTAGAAAGTTTAAAATACCCAGGAGAGTAGGATGTTGTCCGCAATTATCTCGCGGACGGCGTAATTAATATGTGGAGTTATCGGGAAACGATAAATGGGGAGATTGATGTCTTCTGATGTTGGGTCTACGGTTCCAACCTTTTGCTGCTGGCGGCCACCGAGATCTCGGTGGGCGACTCTCTGTTCTTTCTTAAAAATTTTAACATTTCTTATCTCCTCGCGCGTTTATACGCTGTCGGCGCTATAATGAATTAGGACCGTATTGCCCTCGTTAGTCGTTATTTATGCAGCCGATTTTGAGCTATAACCGACATATTAATCTTTCGCTTTAAGATAAATATTATCCCTATGATTATCTCTATTCCGGCATAATTGCCTACTTATTCATCTTAGACAATCTATATGATTTATTAATAATTTCTCATCCTTATATAGACTTTAAACATGAAAGTTTGAATTTCTAATCGTTTTATATCCACAGGGATATATTACTATGTAAACATTATTTTAAAACATCATTTCTAATTTTATATATTAGCAAAGTAAAAAACCAAGTTTTGACTCTAGTCTTTGTATCGTTTGAGTAATTGAGATATATTTGATATCTTAAAAGATAGCTTAAATAATGCGGATTTCAATGTGATATAACTTGTTATAATTTAATATTCGAAACGTTTATCATTGAGGTAATTGCTGCAATTTGAAATACTTAGCATCAAATTAAAACTATTTATTCTCTATCATTTGGATAAATTGAGATGTTTTGATGCTTCATATCTTAAAAGAAAGCCCCCAACCCAAACCAACATCTACAACGTTTGTAATCAAGTTACTCGTTATTCCTTCACATGTAGAAAATCGTCATCGATGACATTTCTTAAGATAACTATTGCTAAAATTAAGATATTTCATTGAGTAATATCTTAAAAGAAAACTTATTTAATAAGGAATTTAACGTAGTGTGGTGTGTTAAAATTGAATCACACGATATCGTTGAGGTTGAGTTGCTTAAATTAGTAAAAATCAAGTTTGTACATCAGCCTTCGTATCTTTTTAATAAATTGAGATATTTACATGTTTAATATCTCNTTTAACGTAGTGTGGTGTGTTAAAATTGAATCACACGATATCGTTGAGGTTGAGTTGCTTAAATTAGTAAAAATCAAGTTTGTACATCAGCCTTCGTATCTTTTTAATAAATTGAGATATTTACATGTTTAATATCTCAAAAGATAGCTTAAACGATGAAGATTTTAATGTGATATGAATCATTTTGATCTAATATTTGAAACATTTCTCATCGAGCATTTGGGACAGCTTCAAATATTTAACTCCAAATACGAATTATTTAATATATATCATTTGGTTAAACTGAGATATTTTGATGCTTTATATCTTAAAAGAAAGCTTAATTAATAACGATTTCAACGTAATATGTCTTATTCTTACCCAACATCTACAACGTTTATAATCAAGTTACTCGTTATTGCTTCAAATGTAGAAAATCGTCATCGATGACATTTTTTATGATAAATATTGCGAAAATTAAGATATTTCAATGAGTAATATCTTGAAAGAAAACTTATTTAATAAGGAATTCAAGGCTATGTGGTGCGTTAAAATTGAATCACGCGATATCGTTGAGGTTGAGTTGCTTAGAAGAGTAAAAATCAAGTTTGTACATCAGCCTTTGTATCTTTTTAATAAATTGAGATATTTACATGTTTAATATCTCAAAAGATAGCTTAAACAATGAAGATTTTAATGTGATATGAATTGTTTTGATGTAATATTTGAAACGTTTCTCATCGAGCATTTGGTACAGCTTCAAATATTTAACTCCAAATACGAATTATTTAATATATATCATTTGGATAAATTGAGATATTTTGATGCTTCATATCTTAAAAGAAAGCTTAATTAATAACGATTTCAACATAATATGTTTTATTCTTACCCAACATCTACAACGTTTGTAATCAAGTTACTTGTTATTGCTTCAAATGTAGAAAATCGTCATCGATGACATTTTTTATGATAAATATTGCGAAAATTAAGATATTTCAATGAGTAATATCTTGAAAGAAAACTTATTTAATAAGGAATTCAAGGCTATGTGATGCGTTAAAATTGAATCACGCGATATCGTTGAGGTTGAGTTGCTTAAAAGAGTAAAAATCAAGTTTGTACATCAGCCTTTGTATCTTTTTAATAAATTGAGATATTTACATGTTTGGTATCTTAAAAGATACCTTAAACGAAGAAGATTGTAATGTGATATGAATCGTTTTGATCTAATATTTGAAACGTTTCTCATCGAGCATTTAGTACAGCTTCGTATATTTAACACCAAATATTAATTATTTAATCTATATCATTTAGATAAATTGAGATATTTTAATGCTTCATATCTTAAAAGAAAGCTTAATTAATAACGATTTCAACGTAATATGTCTTGTTCTTACCCAACATCTACAACGTTTATAATCAAGTTACTTGTTATTGCTTCAAATGTAGAAAATCGTCATCGATGACATTTTTTATGATAAATATTGCGAAAATTAAGATATTTCAATTAGTAATATCTTGAAAGAAAACTTATTTAATAAGGAATTCAAGGCTATGTGATGCGTTAAAATTGAATCACGCGATATCATTGAGGTTGAGTTGCTTAAATTAGTAAAAATCAAGTTTGTACATCAGCCTTCGTATCTTTTTAATAAATTGAGATATTTACATGTTTAATATCTCAAAAGATAGCTTAAACAATGAAGATTTTAATGTTATATGAATCATTTTGATCTAATATTTGAAACGTTTCTCATCGAGCATTTGGTACAGCTTCAAATATTTAACTCCAAATACGAATTATTTAATATATATCATTTGGATAAATTGAGATATTTTGATGCTTCATATCTTAAAAGAAAGCTTAATTAATAACGATTTCAACATAATATGTTTTATTCTTACCCAACATCTACAACGTTTGTAATCAAGTTACTCGTTATTGCTTCAAATGTAGAAAATCGTCATCGATGACATTTCTTATGATAACTATTGCAAAAATTGAGATATTTCATTGAGTAATATCTTGAAAGAAAACTTATTTAATAAGGAATTCAAGGCTATGTGATGCGATAAAATTGAATCACGCGATATCGTTGAGGTTGAGTTGCTTAAAAGAGTAAAAATCAAGTTTGTACATCAGCCTTTGTATCTTTTTAATAAATTGAGATATTTACATGTTTGATATCTTAAAAGATACCTTAAACGATGAAGATTTTAATGTGATATGAATCGTTTTGATCTAATATTTGAAACGTTTCTCATCGAGCATTTAGTACAGCTTCGTATATTTAACACCAAATATGAATTATTTAATCAATATCATTTTGATAAATTGAGATATTTTGATGCTTCATATCTTAAAAGAAAGCTTAATTAATAACGATTTCAACGTAATATGTCTTGTTCTTACCCAACATCTACAACGTTCATAATCACGTTATGCGTTATTGCTTCAAATGTAGAAAATCGTCATCGATGACATTTTTTATGATAACTATTGTATAAATTAAGATATTTCAGTAAATAATATCTTAAAAGACAAGTTATTTAATAAAGAATTCAACGCAATATGGCTCCTTATATTTGAATCACTCAATCTCGGTAAGGTCGAATTGCTTAGAAATGCCACAATCAATAAAAACCAAGTTTGGACTTTAACCTTCATATCATTTGAATAAATTGAGATATTATTATGTATGATATCTTAAAAGATAGCTTATATAATGAGGATTTTTTTGTGATATAGCTCATTTTGATCTAATATTTGAACTGTTTATTATTGTATTAATTGTAGAAGCTATTTTGATGCTTGATGTTTTAATTGGTTTAATATCATGTTATAAAGATATCTTTATTTTTATAAAATCAAGACGGGCGAATTCAAAAGTGTATATTTAAGTGTAATTATGAAATTTATGATAGATATAAAATGTGATACATCAAATTAAGTTAGAATTTTCTGTTCTTTACGAAAATCTTAACATTTATGAAACATTAGAGCCTTTCTCTTTATGGGAGAAAGAAAAAAAGTGTTAGCAAACTAGCCAATTAAAACCTTTTACTTTTCATTTAAAATTCAAATGAAGATTATCTTTTGTGCCAACAACAATCCATTTATGTTATATTCAGCGCATTGATATTTTACCCATCGAGTAGCACTTAAGCATTCTCCATTTAAGACCGTTAACGGCACTTAATGAATTTACAACGCATTAAAGCGGACGTGTAAGTTGTAAGCGTTCATTTCGCAAATTGAATGGCGCGTTCGTAAAGCACAACCTGGCACGTCCGTTTAAAGCTACCCGGGTTTATTATTAACCGACAATAACTGTAAACACGATAACCGTGCTAATTGCTGCAGGTACACATACACAATCATTTACAGATATACGTCCGCGTTATCGTAATTGGAAAGTTGGGGTCTTAAGTCTTCTACAATACACGAAAAGTCACTTCACTTTTTAAATTATTTTTTTTTGTATCGGTGCAATCTATTGATTATTCTCGGTAAGTTTGGTGTCTAGAACGGAAAGTCTATAAAGTACAGGATGAAAAATCCATTTTCGCAAAGACCTGGGTGAAGAAGTTTACCGCTTCGCGTAGAAATTGCAGATTCGGATGCGACAAGGCGATAAGCTCGAGGAATTGTTGACTTTTCCGGGTTTCTAGAACTCGACGCGATGCTGCCGTTTGTGATGTTTTCTTTTTTAAGACCACTTTGCGCGATAACAGTCGTCGGTACTCTTTCATTGAACGAACGACTTGTTGACCTTTCCTTACTTTATCAAAACGAACTAATTGATCGCTTGTAAAGAACTTACTGTAATAATAATAAATTTTATTTGCGTATTTCAAATTATTTGATGTTGATTTATTATAATATTATGATATTTTCGCACTGATATACATGGCATTATTATGATAACATTTCAAAGAAATGAATTTTGTTTTATTTTATTTTAGTGACGAGTTAGATAAATAAAACAAAAAGAAACTATTGTATTTTAAATAGCAGTTAAGTCGTTATCGTAACGAGGTTTAAAAATAAAACGAGTAAGCATTCCTTTACGCAAAGTGATTAGTATTCGAAACGTTGAAATTGGAATTGTGTATTGTTTGTTAATTTTTTTCTTGAATCATTAACCGTAGTAAAAAAATTCCACCTATTAATTATTATTATGTTTTTAGTAAACCCGGTTTTTTATCTTTGTTATGATTGGGTTTATAAAAACGTTGAACTTTTAGATTACACAAATCGTTTTAATTTTAAGTTTTAATACGAAATAAAAAGAAACTACATTAAACTTTCCAACTAATTTATTTTCTAATCCACACCACTTCACGTAAAGCAAATAATGTTTCAACTTTCTATTCGAATTCTCTAAAACGCATTCGATATAACATAATTAACCGCCTGCTTTTAATAACAACAAATCGACCTCCAACAAACTTTTATGTAAACCAAAATCTACGGTTATGGTGCACCAACACATTCCTTCTCTAAAATCAATTGTAAACAATCGTAAATTTACCGTGATAGCTCGAAATCCGATAGATTCCCCCCGTTATAAATTACGCTTAAATAGGAAAAGCTCCTCCGCACGACTTCGTGTGCTTGGTGTTCGTCAGCGAGAGTTGTATTTGCTTTGCTCTCAACCCTTTCACGGTTATAAAAACGTAATTCTCCACGGTATGCTTATAAATTATCCGGTGCTGTGTGGCCGATTAGAATGTTTAAAGCGGTATGTCAAAGAAGTGTAAGTTTTTTTTGAAGCAAATATGTACATATACAAGTCTTTTTTTATTGCACTTATCAATCATACGGGTGTAGTTCAGGCTGACGTTTATGTACCTATTCACGTTCGTAATTGAGATCGAAGAGCCTCTCTATACAGCACAACCTCCTAGGGTAATGCCCTTTGGTCGTGTTCGATCCCAGGTGGTTACGTGAAATTGTTATTGGGGGAGGAAGTTCTCTCGGTTTATTAGCTCTTAACAATATCATAAAAGAAACGAAAGGGTTTCGAAACGAAAAGGAAATTGTTATTTAAGTACTTCTAATGGGATTCATTTAAAAAATTAAATATATTTTTTTATTGTTTCAGGTTGATTGAAAAGAATAATATTACAACTTTAGTGCAAGACAAAAAGGAGTTAATCGAACGTTGTGACAGAAGGATAAGGAGATGTGACAGATCGTGTAGTGGTGCGGGTTTTGTGATGCCGTTCGGTGTTGTTGGCCCCTAGTGTTGGTTGCCGGTTGCGAAGAGAGAGAATCGAGCCCCCCCGAGTTGCCATGGCGGCCCCCGGCGTGGCCCTGTCACTCACATTGATATTGGCGTTTTTTCTGGCGGCCGTCCGTCCTAATCAAGGTTCGTATCGCATTATGAAATATTGATTAAGATAGAACATGAAATACCGTGTGCCATGATACCTTTTTTTCCTTCCCTTTTGTCTTTTTATGTCGATATTTCAACGAAGGAAAAATTCGAACACGAAAACCAATAGACATTTTCGATGGATTTAAAAAATTATTATGTTCAAATATATATTATAGTTATTAAGTTTTTCCTGTTTCAATTTCATTCTTTCATTTTCTTTCAGACAAAGCTTTTGAATGATAATGCCGAAAAGTTACACTTTTCCAAGGCAAATTTAAAGCATTGTCTTCTTTCTTGTATTCCTTACTATTTAGGAGTGATCAGCAATATCTTATTATCATACTCATAGTTGTATGCAAGAATTCGTAAATTTCAACAATTTTATTTCATTAATAAGTCCTAATACGTTTCCTAAGCAATTTCTAAACGTAATCTTATTTCTTGCACACCTCAACCGCATTGTGCAAAAATTTAGCTTTTGCATTCCTCCATTTTAGGGATGATCAGCATTCAATTGATAACAATTGATAATGTAATGATTTTAGGACATATCAATTAAATGCTCGACTCTGACACTTTGTCAATGCAATTTTCAAATCACATCATCTTTCTTACACACATTATTGACGCTGTGCAAAATTTTGTTGTTACCACCTTCCATTATGGGGGTGATCACAGTTGTTTTCCATCGTTGTATGCATAAAATCGTAAATTTTGACACATTTTAAATAACTGCTCCTTTATGACACGTTTCCTAAGCGATTTCTAAACGTAATCTTATTTCTTGCACACCTCAACCGCATTGTGCAAAAATTTAGCTTTTGCATTCCTCCATTTTAGGGATGATCAGCATTCAATTGATAACAATTGATAATGTAATGATTTTAGGACATATCAATTAAATGCTCGACTCTGACACTTTGTCAATGCAATTTTCAAATCACATCATCTTTCTTACACACATTGTTGACGCTGTGCAAAATTTTGTTGTTACCACCTTCCATTATGGGGGTGATCACAGTTGTTTTCCATCGTTGTATGCATAAAATCGTGAATTTTGACACATTTTAAATAACTGCTCCTTTATGACACGTTTCCTAAGCAATTTCTAAGCATAATCTTATTTTTTTCACACTTCACTAGTCTTCTGCAAAATTTAGCATTCCCATCTCTTCGTATTAGAGATGATCAGCATTTTTTTATCCTAGTATGCAAAAAAATATGATTTTAGGAAATTTTAATCAAATGCTCGACTCTGATACTTTGTCAATGCAATTTTTAAATGTTACCTTGCATCTTACACGTATTATTAACCCTTTGTGAAATTTTAATCTTTGAACTCTTCATTTAGGGGTTATCTGAATTTTCTTTTGATCATTACAATATACCAAAAATCTTCAATTTCGACACATTTTAATTAATTGCTCTGTTTTGACACTTTTCCTAAGCAATTTTCAAGCGTGATCTTGTTTCTTCCACACCTCACTTGCCTTGTGCAAAACTTCGCTTTCCCATCCCTTAATTATAGGGCTAATCAGCATTTCTTTTTGTCGTTGTATGGAAAAAATTATGATTTTAGGACATTTTAATTAAATGCAAACTCTTCCAAGTTTAGGTATCTGTCACCAGTGACAGTTCCGTTAAAAGGAATGGTTCTATGATGCTCAATGGGGATATCCCATACCACACTGTTACTCCTGATAAGTTTACATGATGCTCAAGTGTTACATGAGGATTTACAGGACTCTAGTACGTACAATTATGGCGATTAATGGAGCCATTTAATTTAAAGGACAATTTTATGCATCTTCTTCACATTTTGCCAGGTACCATTCACAGAATTGAACTCTCCGGTCAGGATCGTCTTCGTTGAGAGCATGGATTACGGTTGGAATGTAGCAGCATCTCGAGTGCAGACGTTTCCTGATGCGATAGACGCTATCTTTTGAGATGTGGGTTTCCCGAGCAGTTTGTTGAAGAGATTTCTGTGGTGAGCGACGGAGTGTTGCCAGCATTTTTTCTTTTCGAGGGCTCCTTCTGGACGGTTCCATCTCCTTCTGGCCCGTCGCGTTGGTGGCGATTTTGTGAATTCCCTTCTAAATCGTCTTTGCACTTCAATGGCGTTTTCGGTCTTCCAATAACATTTCAGGACAAACTTCTTGATCAAACTAACTTGATTTCATGCCTTGCTGTGATTAATTAATTACACTTGCAATACAAAAAAAGCAGCATATTAGCAAGTTAAAGTGTGAGTATATTTTTTTGAGACACCTGTAGTGGTGATCAGTAATTTTTGATCACCATATTCGTTTGAATTACAAAATTGAGAAACTTTTGCTGTAACAGAATCTGTTTTCTATTACTAATGAACGAATAACTTTTAGTAACAATGAAATAATTCATTCAATAAACGTGATACTTGATAGTTGTTGAGAGTTACTCAATCAGTTACCTAGAAAGCAATAATGAAATTCAAGATATACGATACTTTGCTATCAAATTAACGATTTTTGTAACAAAAATAACCTTTAACGTTGACCATATTGTTGTAATTTGGTAATATTAAAGCTGGAATGTAAAATAACACGCTGGGTTTCGTGTAATCGAGGTGCAATTTTCACTGCATTAAGCCAGCCGTGATGTATGCATGAAGTATCGACGCTCGGCGTCGTTTATGCAAATTCTCTGGAGCATTTGGAACCGTTCACTCGCTTTTATCTACAATATGCTCCGATTCTACCAGCTATAATCCGCATTTCCCTAAAACATCCCAACTCGTCCATTTTATATCTCTTTTTTTGATAAATTTCTAAGTTAAAATCTTTGTTTATGAATTAATTATTGTTATATTCCTTTTATACACTTTAATAAACCCGGTGAGCGGTTGTAAAGCGTAGTTAGTGTTATGGAGTCTTTACGGGTCCAAAAATATATCGCAACACGTGCGCAGAGGCGCGAACAGAGGTCGGTTTTTCTTCGTTCCCCTCGGGTTTGAGAATTCAGTGCCGGCGACGCGCAAACACGAAACCGAGGTAGTAGATTATCTGGCGACAATTACAAGCGAAATAATTAAGTCGGAGTCCGCAGGCGACGACCGATTTACACAATCGCTGAACGCGGATGAATAATTTATGGTATACGCGTGCCTTCGTGTCCATTAACGCACGTTGACGCGTGCGAAACAAAGAATGAAAAAGCGAGAGCCGGCGGCGCCAGGTTATCTCGATAATTTACGTTTTATCACGATCACTATGAGTATCAGAATTTTATTTTGTCTATCTACTAAATATTGATTTTATAATTGTAATTTTCCTTCTTTGAGTCGAATCTATTTTTTTAATTCGAAGGAGTAAAATTAAAAGTCAGTTCATCTAGTGATGAATAACAAATAAAAGTAGACTAATACTAGCACCAGAACTAGACCTAGAATTAGAAACATTCCGTTTAGCTGTACTTCTCTTAAGACGGCTGGTATGTGGTAGGTAGCGCTAGTTAGCATAAAATATCATTATGTTGCATATTTTTATTGAACTAAAACTAGAATTAACCTCAGACGCACGGCTAAACCCGAAACTTTCTAGTTCTAGGTCTAGTGTTAGTTCTAGTTTTACATTAGCACCATCACTAGAACTAACACAAGAACTAGAACTAGAATCATTCGGGTTTAGCCGTCTTTAGAGACGTGCGGCTAAATCCGAATGTTTCTAGTTCTAAGTCTAGTGTTAGTTCTAGTTTTACAACATCACTAGAACTAACACAAGACCTAGAACTAGAATCATTCGGGTTTAGCCGTCTTTAGAGACGTGCGGCTAAATCCGAATGTTTCTAGTCCTACGTCTAGTGTTAGTTCTAGTTTTACACTAACACTATCACTAGAACTAACACAAGACCTAGAACTAGAATCATTCGGGTTTAGCCGTCTTTAGAGACATGTGGCTAAATCCGAATGTTTCTACTTCTCGGTGTAGTGTTAGTTCCAGTTTTACACTAGCACTATCACTAGCACTAACACAAGACCTAGAACTAGAATCATTCGGGTTTAGCCGTCTTGAGAGACGTGCGGCTAAATCCGAATGTTTCTAGTTCTACGTCTAGTGTTAGTTCTAATTTTACACTTGCACTATCACTAGCACTAACACAAGACCTAGAACTAGAATCATTCGGGTTTAGCCGTCTTGAGAGACGTGCGGCTAAATCCGAATGTTTCTAGTTCTATGTCTAGTGTTAGTTCTAGTTTTACACCATCACTAGAACTAACACAAGACCTAGAACTAGAATCATTCGGGTTTAGCCGTCTTGAGAGACGTGCGGCTAAATCCGAATGTTTCTAGTTCTAGGGTAAAACGCCAGTAATTGACCGTTGGTCAGTGTTTGACCGTTTTTGTAAAAAAAATGTAAAAAATAAGGATCCAAGGAATATCTAAAAAATATAAATATATCCATAAATAGCCACCAGTCTCCTCTCCACTCCCTAGTACACAAAAAGTCCACGACCATACCGTTCTTGAGTTTTTATTGTTTAATTTTGCGCTAACTGCCGGCCTATTCGCATTGTGCTAAAAAGCGTAGTTTTTATGTTTAGAAATTCGCCCAAACAGGGTAGTACTATTCAGCCGTACTTGCATTTATGATGTTTTTTTTTGTTTGCCAGTGATCTAATAATGTTTTCTATTGGTTATATTAAAAAAATACCGCTTTAATTAATTGTTTGTTGAAATAAAGCCGGTCAATGACTGGTAGTTCTATATTTAATTAAAAATTAGTGTTTGACCAAACGGTCAAATACTAGACGAATTGGTTGTTTTATAATCTCACAAGGATTTATATTTGATTAATAAAATGGAAAAATGTGTAATACCTGTTTTTGAAACTTATATCTTCCCGTTTAAGTTGTTTAGTATTTGACCAAAACTTTTATACTTTAAAAGTGAGATACAATCAGTTTAAATATGCGGTCAATTACTGGTTCCTCTTTTGGTCATTTATAGGAC